GGAAGCTCTCCTGCAGCCCCCCAATTGCCCCCTCTCCCCAGATGGCAGCCTGCGGCAAGTGCAGCCGGTCTGATGGCCAAGTGCTGTGATGTGCCCAGTGTGGGTACTCCGGGCAATCCAAGCCAGGACTGCTTTGCAAGCGGGGCACCCCTGAGAACTGTCTGTCCGGGGTGGGGGTCGGGACCCTTTAAGCACAGCCCTCGGCTAGCCTGAGACAGCATCTCCACGCTCTAAGTCCTCCTCTGATGCCCTTCCGGCACTGCTTCCGGCCATCCGTAAGCCTGGTTCAGGGTCCACTCTGTGTGGACATGCTAGTTCGAATTAGCAAAATGCTAATTCGAACTAGTTTTTTAGTCTGGATCCGTTAGTTCGAATTAGCTTAGTTCGAATTAACTAATTCGAACTAAGTTAGTTTGAATTAACGTTGTAGTGTAGATGTACCCTAGGAGAGAACGAACTGACCCAGGCCACAGCAAAAGACAAGCCACCTGTGACCCAAACCCAAAGGATCTGAGTAAGTCCCTCCTCAACTACCCCACAACCACATCGCCCCAGGGCTCCAGGACACGGCACCGTGGGGAAAGGTTTCTCACATTCATGCTTGGTGCTCTGCAAACAGAGCCAGAAAACGGCTCCCACTCCAAAGTATTCACCACAAACATGCCACCTGCACAATCTGACACCAAACCAGGACTCCATTTTCCCTGGGTAGCTGTAGGAACCTTGAGCTGAAAGTTTGTTACCGTCCCTTAGGGCTGTAGTCACAAAACAGTACAATCGCAAAGCTTCACAGCAAGAAAGAACTCCAGGACTGGAAATGTCTAACCCACAGACATTGTTCTCCAGTGACAGAGGTCAGCCCTAAAATCAATGCAATGGCTGCCTGCAGAAGACTCGGGAATTCAGGAGTTGGTCTGTGATAGGATAGGAAACTGTGTTGAGAGTTCTCTGGTTTGCTGAGACTACACCCTCTGGAAAAATAAACATGCCTACCGGGCCAGTGACAATGAGCAGGCCACTACACGTGTGGTTGGCTAATCAGGATATTCCATGTGGGCGCCACAGGTATCAGAAGTAGAGGCCATGTTTGAGAGACGAACGCAAGCACAAAACAAAGCTGCTCATTCAAACCGCAACAAAGCCGAGTTTCACTTCCCTGGCAAATCGAGGTCTCTGTTTAGAGCTACCCAGCGCCCGGGACTCAGTCGCAACCCACGAGCTCAGATGCAGACCTGAAGCACATCAGGGTCACAGCTGCGCGCTGAGAAAAAAGGTTCCTTTTCATTCCTGCACTAATCCCGCCGCAAACCCTCTCGCCAAGCCTGTTTATGTGAATGGATGAATAATTTGTGGTGCAATTTGATTAAGCTTCACTGACAGCCTCCAAGGTTTACATTCTGTCGGCTTAACACGCTCAGCGAAACCTTCCAGATGTTGGCAGCTGGTAAAATATACGGGGGGAACACTGTGCATTGCTACTGATTCCCCAGAGCTGCCCTCTTCTGCTCTCCACAGATGAGAGGCATCTGGATTTATGGACCAGACACCCTCCCCACTAAATAAGCTTTCTGCTTTTCTGCGCCCTCTTTACAAAGCCCAAAAGGACCCATGCACCAGACATCTTTGTGCAATTCCGCAGCCCACAGTTCAGAAAACACTGCCAGGAGCAACTTCTTGGGCAGGGCTTGGAAAAATGAAGATGAAACAATACACTTGGCGAGGTTAAAAAAAGCAAGCCCCCTTTCTCTGCTATCTAATCCCATGGGCCTTGGAGATGCTCAAACAACTCCAGGCTACTCGTCTCGGTGCTTCAGAGATGTCAGCGCTCCTTCAGCTTCGCTGTGCCGGCTACTGACCTCACTGAATCGCAGAACACTAGGACTGGAAAGGACCGCGAGAGGTCATCGAGTCCAGTCCTCTGCCCTCACGGCAGGACCAAGCACCATCTAGATCATCTCTGGCAAGTGCCTGTCTAACCTGCTCTGAAATATCTCCAATGATGGAGATTTCACTATCTCCCCAGGAAATTTATTCCAGTGTTTAACCACCCTGGGTATGTCTACACTACCCCGCTAGTTCGAACTAGCGGGGTAGTGTAGACATACCCAGGGTGGTTAAACACTGGAATAAATTTCCTGGGGAGATAGTGAAATCTCCATCATTGGAGATATTTCAGAGCAGGTTAGACAGGCACTTGCCAGAGATGATCTAGATGGTGCTTGGTCCTGCCGTGAGGGCAGAGGACTGGACTCGATGACCTCTCGCGGTCCTTTCCAGTCTAAAAATGGCGGCGCCCCGCTTATGCAAATGAAGCCTGGGAAATTCAAATCCCGGGCTTCATTTGCAATTGCGGTATGCCTACATTACCCCGCTAGTTCGAACTAGGAGGGTAGTGTAGACATACCCCCTGACAGTTAGGAAGTTTTTCCTAATGTCCAACCTAACCCTCCCTTGCTACAGTTGAAGCCCATTGCTTCTTGGCCTGACCTCAGAGGCCAAGGGGAACAATTTTTCTCCCTCCTCCTCCTGTTGAAGGATGCCCAACACTGGCTCAGCAGAAGCTACAAGAAGCCCCCTCCACCACCACCGCTCAACATCCCCTATGCAGATTGCTGGGAGCACACACCTGTCCCTGGCCTGAACCCTCCAGTCTGGAAGAACATTCAAGACAGGGAGGGCATGGGGGCTCCTAGGGATGCGGGGGTGGGGAACCAAGCTCAAACCAAACACAAACTGCCACACCAAGGTTTGCAAACACTCAGCTCCCTCCTGCCCTGCATGGCCGTGCTCTGGCTAGGATCAGTAGGAGAAACGTCAGCCAGCCTCATGGTCTCAAGGGGTCAGGACAAAGATCGCCCCCAAGGAACACACACACGCACAGAATGGCCTGCTTCTCCATGAAACGCTTTAGGAATCCAGTTAGAAGCCAGGGAAACGTCTGCCAATTGCCTATGTTTGCTTGTATCAAGGTGAGAGTATCCCCGTGCGCTCTCCCCCACCCTTCCTGGACTGGAGGAGACATCTCCCTGTGAGAGCAGAAGCAACAGGAAGGGACAGAGGATTCCTGTGAAAGGAGGGGTGAGGGGAATGAACAAAAGGAAGTAGCATGGGGAAGGGAAGCAAACGGGAACTGCATGTAGGTTGGGCGAGGTCTCTGGGAACATGGTGAGATGAGGAAAGCTCTGGACAATAGAATTTAAAAGGGACCGTTACCAGCTTGGTGAATGTCCTATGGGAGAACAATATAGCTACAGGGTCGGGGGAAATCGACTGCTCGCTGTGCCTGCGAAGGCTGGACTTGCAGCGGTTGAAGACAAATGGGCCTCTTGGGGGAGATAGATGAGCCCCAGGAACTGAAGTTCACACAAGAGGATGGTCACTGGGAAACAGCCAAGTGTTTGGTAAGAAGAGGCTTGGGGAGATGGTGATCCAGTCACCTGTACCTGAACTAGGGATCACAACAGGTAATCCTCCTCTGGCACCCACCTCTAGAGAAACAGAGGCGAGGGACACCATTCTCACCCATCCTGGCTAATAGCCATTGATGGACCTAACCTCCATGAATCAATCTTGCTTTTTTTTGAACCTTGTTAAAGTCCTAGCCTTCACCACATCCTCTGGCAAGGAGTTCCACAGGTTGACTATGTGCTGACAAGTCAGAAGTGCGGTTTTCAAAGCCACACAGGGTTTGGACACCTGATTCCTCCTGTTGTTTTCATGGGATTGGAATAGTCAAATTCCTTAGGCAGCGATGAAAACCTCATCTGAATTGTGCAGAGCAGTTTGCTCAGGTCCAGCTGCCAGAGCTAGGATTCCTCCTTATTCATGCTGGAGCGAGGTAAGGAGGGCACAGGCTGGGAGGTCTCCTATCAGAAGGAAGGGAGATAGACAGGCGCAATGGTGGGATCTATTTAGATTCAGAGCTCTCTCAAATCCAAGCATGGGGGGGAGGCGGATGCTTTCCAGGATCTGGCCTGGAGACAATGTCACCGAGCCGGCTGGGGAAGACCTGCACAAGAAAATGAACAGAGCACAAACCCCAGTTCCATCCGCCTCCTATGGACAAGGGGTTCGGCTTTTAGCGACAGTATCGCCTACCGCAGCGCTAGCGAATGAACGCACCATTCCAGCGCGGGTACAGGGATTTCTTTGATTGGACGACAATGACTGAGGCGGTCACAGATCACATGGAAATGACAATCACGCTGGCGCAGACCATTCCACCTTGTGTGGGCGGGGGGAGGAGAGGGAGAGTGACTGGGTGAGTGAATACTCAGGGGAGAGCAAAGGAACAAGAAGACACAAATATCCATCATGGGGAGTCCCGCCTCCCTCCCCACAGTATCTCCACGGAGCCAATCTCATCCCATCGGGCTCTTCAGATGAACCCACAGCCTGGCGTTGAGGCTCCACATTATTACTGTGCAAATGTCTGGAGGATTCTGCGACTTAGAGACTTGCTGCGAAGAGCCATGGAGTTTCCCATGCCTCCCAGCGTGAATCGTGCCGGTCCCGTACCTCTGGGAATCACACTCTCCGTGTGTACTGTTGCTCACCAGCAGGAAGCCAGCCTGGACACGAGAATATTTCTTACTGCCCTAGGGTCTGGAAGGTCACGTACCTGATCCGGGCTAACACCACATGAGACAGCAGCTCTTGGCAGCCTGCACTTACCGTATATCCCAGCCGGCCTTTATCTCCTGGCTCCCCTGGATATCCGGGCGGGCCCTGCGCACACACAGAGCTCAGATCAGTGCACGTTAACCTTTCCCCTTGCGAGCCCAGATCAGGTTGCTGGATTTACCGTGTCGAGAGAATGCTGGGGTTTGCAGCCTTGTTTACAGATCCCATTCCAGGGCAGACAATGAACAATACACAAAGGCAGCACTGGCAATTTCAGTCACATGCCGGATGAGCTGCAACATAGCTCTTCGGAGCCAGGCCTTGGGTTGCTGTTCTGCTGGCATTCCCCCAGTTTGTGGCAAGGACACCATCAGTATTCAGCCACAGGCTGTGGGGTGCAAACTCTCCATTGCTTACAATTCTCTTCTGAGGCTGGACCATAACGGGTCTTTTCCCCGCTTTTCTCTCAATCCATTTGGGTTCCACAAACTTCCTTCTACACAATCCAGCTTCCCTTTCCCAGGCCTGCTTATAATACGGCTTGTCAAGAGCACACCTGCCTTTTCGCCCTGTCTGTCCATCAGCACCGCCAGTTACCACCTCAAACTTAGGGACCCTGTTAGTTAATTATCACTTTAAAATAAAATGTCCTCTGGACTGGATATAAAATAGTAATACAAATATCAGTCTCTTGCAGCCTTCTTAGTCCCTTGGCTGTTTTCTTGGAGGCAGCCTAATGCAGGCCTATTGCCCTTGTGTTAGCTCAGATCCTCCAACCTCCCCTTACTTCTCTTACCTCTCCCCTTTGTAGCAGACCACCAGCTGTAAGTACTGCCTCCATGCCTGGCCCCTGTGTGAGGTTATGATCAAAGGCTGTCCCCGTCTGTGCTCAGTGTGGGGTTTGTAAACCCCCTTATGTGTCCTACATTGGTGAAGACTGAGCTTGATAAATGTATCGGGGGGAAGGTCTGATGAGACTGCCTACACGGGCATTCGGCTGATCTGCAACTGCTAGCAGCGAATCTCTCAATGGCGGGTGATAGAACAGAGACCCTGGGGGGTTTTCACTCTCCTCTGTAGTATGGGACCTGGATCACTTGCAGGCTAAAACTAGTGTAAATGGTGGAGTCTCTGTAACTTTGATTTGAGGACCTCAGTAATGCAGCCGGAGGCTGTGGGTCTATTTCAGGAATGATGATCTAGATCAGGGGTCTCCAAACTACGGCCCGCGGGCCGGATGCGGCCCGCGAGGCCCTCTCATCCGGCCCGTGGAGACCTTTTTGTCTACGGAAAAAAAATTACGGAAATTTACGTGTATCCTGCCAAGATCAGCCGCCGCTTACGTGGACGTTATGTTTTTACCGAATTAAAATAGAGGCACTTGGATTCAAAGGCAGAAGAAGTGAGATTGTTTCAAAACCCATTTGCAGCAGATGTGGCCAGTTGCCCAGATGAACTGCAGCTGGAAGTCATTGAGTTGCAAGCAAATGACCTCCTTAGGGACAAGTTCAAAATAGGACTGGTGGGTTTTTACCAGTTTTTGCCCAAGGAAGACTTTCCTAATGTCAAAACTTTTGCATCAAGGTACCTTTCAATCTTTGGAACAACATACCTGTGTGAACAAACATTTTCAAGAATGAAATACGTGAAGAACAATTTGAGAACAAACTTGTCCGATGATAATCTCAGGTCACTGTTGATGTTAGGGACAACAAATCTAAAGCCAGAAATGTCTATTTTGGCATCCAGGAAACAATTTCACCATTCACACTAATACAGGTGTTCATGTGTAGTGTATCAATGTGTTATTAAATAATAACTGAATAAAATAATATTAAATAAATAATTAAAAACAACATCCATGTTTTGATTGTTTTTTATTTGGACCTCAAGTGTGTAGTCGGCCCCCGAACTGCTGTTTGATAGTTAATGCGGCCCTCGGGCTGAAAAGTTTGGAGACCCCTGGACTAGATAACTGTTTTCCTACTAACACATTGTAAATAGTCCATTCTTGGAGAGAGGAGCATCTCCCATCTCCCTCAGTACTTGGAAGAAACTGCTGTGCTTTTCAAACAAAGAACAGAGAGAGAAAACCCCTCTCTTCCAGTTTGAAATTCCTACCTGCATTGTTATTGGCTGACCACTCAATAGCTGGTTAGGTACAGGAGACATCAGTTAACCCCTTAGTCGCTGGGTGTTGGTCAGCATTCCTGATTATGACACCAGGCAACATACCCAAACCATGTCCAGACCTTTAGTGTGGAATGCTTGTAGGAGGACTTTAAGGACCATGCTGTTCTCTAATCTCTCCAGTAATTAGGGATCAGATTGTGGTGATTGTGCTAGGGGAAGGTAGCATCATGCTGCCTTTCAAGACCTGCATGTGCATGGAAGAGAATAGGGATGAGGGGGCCTTCCATGAATTTAGTTTCATGCCAAGGAATGGAGGGGAGACGGGATAAATCTCCATGTTGCTGGTGTGGGCATATTTAGGGGGATACTTTTCATACTTACAGGTGATCCTGGTTTTCCTGGATGCCCTGACAGTCCACGTGGTCCTGGCTGTCTCTAGATTTAAAAAAAAAGGCAATCAGTAACATGTTTTAGAGATCAAACCTATTTGGAAAGACACAAGACTCCATATGATCATTCAGGAGAAATGTGAGAGATCATGTCACGGGATTTAGAGACATAATCCTCTTTTTGTTTAAATACTTCAGGGGTGGGTAGGGGGCAGTGGTGTAATGCACAAAAAAGGTCTGTGAAGAGGGCAGCACACACACACTTTTTTTAAAATAAGGATTAATATCTGACTGAACCTGAAAATGGACTGGGATCCAGCGGAGCTACTGGAAGACAGAGCTTCCAAGGGGAGTACCTCTGGATTCCCAACAATCCTTTCATTCTAGGCATAACTAGGAGACAAAAGTGTGCCCCAGCCATGCCACCTGCTCTTGATGCACTTGGGTGGCATTGTCCCAATGTCCTCTTTTAAGACCAGAAGGGGTCATTAAGACCATCTGTGTTGGGTCTCTTGTGTAACATGGGGCAGAGATGTCCCCCCAGGGATTCCTGGGTCACGCCTGTCACTTCGGTTCGAGCCACAGCCGATCTTTTAGAAAGATATTAATTTAAAAAATTGCAGATGCTGGAGAACCCACCATGTCCCTCTAAGTAACAGGAGACACTCACCGGCCAGCCTGAATGGAGAAGCTGGTAAAACGAGGATTGCTAAAAGGAGAGGAAGAAAAAAGAAAGAGCATGTAAAAAAATCCATCTACTCTCCCAGCCAAGGATGGCACATGCTGCTGTAGCCATGACCCTCCTGACCCAAAAAGCAATTGTGGGTTGGCGGTGGCAAGATTATTGTATGGGGGCGCTGTTGTACTGCTACTCTTACTTCTACGGGCAGTGGCGCTGCCTTCAGAGCTGGGTCCTGGAGAGCGGCAGCTGCTGGCTGGGTATAGCTGCCACCAGCAGGAGCGCGGAAGGAAGGAGGGCAGGGTATGGTGTTGCCAACTTTCTGCACTGCGGCCTGCACAGCTGAGCCCTCAGCCAGCTGCCCAGCTCTGCAGACAGCGCAGATGTAAAGATGACAAAACCCTGTGACCCTCTGCAACTCCCTTTTGGCTCATGACCCCCAGTTTAAGAAATGCTGCTCTTTTTGTGCAAGGGGTTTTTGTGTAAAAAGAAGCAGTGTGGACTTTTTTTGTGTGTGCAAAAACCCTGTTTTGTGCAAGATCCTTATGCCTGTCCCAGAGAGGGTTTTTTCACAACCTCCCCTCCCCCGATGCTTCTTTTTGTGCAGAAAACCCCTTGCGCAAAAAGAAACAGCAGAAAATATGCGAATGATGTCACAACTTATGCTAATGACTCCCTCATTAGCATATTTTCTGCCGCAAAAACTTGTAGTGTAGACGTAGCCAATATTCATAGATTATCCCTTTGCTCTGGAGATGCAGCCTCTGAGGTAGAGAGATTCTCCAACCAAATAAAACACTAGACATTAGAACGGGGCGGAGGGGAGCACCGAGGATGTATGACGTGAGAATACAGCGCCATCACTCCCCAAAAGGGGATGGCAGCATCACACACACACACACACACACACACACACACACACACACACACACAAAACAAACATGAAATGTAGCTGTAACCTATGCTAACACAGTGTGGGCTCTGCTCTCTTCTGTCTCTAGCAAGCCTACCTATGGAGGGTTACCAATCTGCTAGCAAGTCTATACAAACTGCAGCTTATCCTTTGGGATCCAGAAGATCTGGGTTCAATCCCTATAGATGACAACAGGCATAGGTGTTAAACAGACTATAAAAATCAAATCTTATGGAGACTAGAAATCCAAAAAGATTCAGTGAACCACCCGACCATAGACTGGGGCCCAGAGGAAAAACTGCCTGTACAGGACACTTGCTAGTGATTTCTCTTATTCAGTTTAGAAGTTCCAAAGCGATATGGCTTTGATTGCTTTTGGCAAGAAAATATCCCAGAGCCAAAGAGAACTCGGGGTCAGGAAACATCTCCTGATGTTCAGACATTTTCTTTCAATTTCGTCTCCTCTGTCCTTGAGCTGAACCCCCTGGCACTACCGCAAATACTTCACAGCCTCATAAGTCTTTTGTAGGCTTGTCCTATCCCCCGCTTAGCACAGCTTGATAAATTTAGCTACTTTCATCTTACCTCATAAATCAATCCCTCCACCTCTTTTACCATCTTTTCTGTTATGCTCTGAACTCCATCCAGGAGAGGCACCAGGATATTTCAAGTCCCGTTCATTTGTTGCTTTTACCTCAAAAGATAACTTTTGGTGGTTGGCCTGAAAGTATTTTGAGGCCATTGCATTTCCTCTGGATGCTACTGCAAGCAGCAGCTACTCGGCAGTTCAACAGACTGGCATTTGTGGGCACTGAACGCTGGTTTTATACCATTCTCCTTTCAAAGTGTTAGGCCAAAGGCACAATGGACTCCACACTGGAGCCATCCAGGGGTTTTTCCAAGACATGTTTTAATCAGAAAGTTCAATTAGTCAAAACAATTTCTTGTTGGAACCATTTTTGGTTTTTAACAAAATCTTTGTCAGGAAGGCAACAAATAGTCTAGTAGCACCTTAAAGACTGACAAAAGATGTCGATGGTATTATGAACTTTCGCGGGCATAACCCACTTCTTCAGATGACTGGAAGACGTCCTGTTTTCAATATTCATCTTCCAGTCATCTGAAGAAGTTGGTTATATCCATGAAAGCTCATGATACCATCGACATGTTTTGTTAGTCTTTATGGTGCTACTAGACTACTCGTTGTTGTTTAAGCTTTTCTAGTTACAGACTAACTCGGCTACCCTCTGAAATTTAAGGTTTATCAGGCCCATGATGCAATTTCTCTCTGTGTCATTTTGACCACAGAAGGCCCAGAATAGCCAACAGTCCAGAGATTATAGCGTGGAAGCCCAGGGTCAAGTCCTTGTTCTGAATCGGGCAGCACGGGGACTTGGATTTGGGTCTTCCAATGAGCTAGTCTGATTTTTCATGAAAAAAAAATCAAAATCTGTTTCCTCCTGATGCAGAATCAAGCCAGTCCCTGCTACTTTGAAATTCTTGTTCACCGGCCAGTCCTACTCCGAATCACCATCTGAGATGTGTAAAAAAAAGCCAGCAATGCACCACGGCACGCAATGCAAAATCTTGAGTGCTTCTCTTGGACCAAATGACAGGATTAAACCACTGCTAAAAGCCAGTCATGAGAATGGTGGATGTTGAGTATTCTGCTCCAGCTCTCTCTAAATATAACCGAAACATTCATTCAAAGCCAGAGCTGGCTGAAAGATAATCAGTGGAACGGTTTTCCATTTGAAAATGGCGTTTCATCAAATTCTACGCTGAAGGCTTCTTTTGGAAGAAGCTGTTCTGGAAGAGATCTTCTGAAAAAACTTCTTCCAAAAGAGAGCGTCTACATAGCAAATGCGCACAAAAAAAGCAATCTGCTTTTTGGAAAGATAGCACCCACATTGAATGGACATTATCTTGCATTTCAGCTGAGATTACTATGGACGAAGTGGCCACCAGGGCACCTGTGCTTTTTCCTCTTTCCTCTTCTTTCGAAAGAACTCCCTCTTCCCCATCTACACACGCCTTTTTCCAAAAGAGCTCTTTTGTAAAAAGGCTTCTTCCTCATAGAGAGAGGATTTTTTTCCCGAAAGAACGCAATTGCAATGTGGATGTAAGTGAAGTTTTTTGGAAAAACAACTGTTTTTCCAAAAAAACTCTATAGTGTAGACAAATCCTGAATGTTTGTCAGGATTTAAATGAAATCCAAGGGAAGAATTCAACACTGAAATGAAATATTTCAATATTTTATTCCTAGAATAAAATCTTCATTTTAAATTCTCCATGCATGGCATATTTAATGTTTTCGATTACATTTAATATTTTGTTTTACATTTCCAATGTTATTGAAATGTTTTAACTAGGTCCCTTAGATGTTTCTGAGTAGAAATTGCCTAGAGTTTTTCTTCTGTGAAAGTTTTCACTTTCCACCGTGAATTGGCAAGGGACCGGACTCGATGACCTCTCGAGGTCCCTTCCAGTCCTAGTATTCTATGATTCTATGAAATGTCAGCACTTCCCATAGAACAGAAGTTCCATTTTCCTACCAGTTCTACTCTAGTGACAACAGCCTTCCTCTCGCACTGATTTTTATTTATGGGCCACTGCACTTCTGGATCACGTCTCCACTGAATCCGTAAAAGAAAACTAAATCAAAACCATCTTAAACAACAAAACCCACCACAAAGGGAAAAGACCTGGGAAGCAGCTCGCTCAGTCGTTTTGGCCCAGCTAGAGGAAATGAAAAATTACTGGAGAAACCCACATTTCCAGGCCAGGTTTCTCAAGAGGCTCAGTTTGGAGACTCATCCTGAAAACAAAGAGCACGAATCCAACACTCCAGACCTTTGGAAGTTCTCTCAACCGCCTGAATGGCAAGGATGCTGGAAGGGAAAGGGTTATTTTCCCTCCTGTCATCCCCCCCAACCCAATTACTTTATTCTGGTCTCCAGAAGGGACTAGCACCTGATCCTGTCAGCTTTCCCCACAGCCCCAGCCCACCAGAAAGACACAAAAGCACCTTCAGTTCCCCAACAGAAACCAAGCACCATGGACAGAACTGGGTTCCCGTTCACTGCCAAGCTGTACGCGCAGCTCAGTAGTCAGAAATTCCTCCTCCTCCCTCCCCCAAGACTATTCCTCAGACACAAGAGGAGGGAGGAGGAGGGGAATCTGAGCAAGCTCATTTACCAAAACAAAGGGCATTCGCCATATGGAAATATTTCCAGTAATAAGCAGGGCCGATGATGGATGAATACATTTAACTAGCTCTAATGCTGCACCGGCCACTTCGGCTCCTTTCAAGTTTATCCCAGATTGATTAATGTGAGCAAATGTGCAAAAGCTCTGACAGCCTGTCAAGCCAGGCCCTGGCTCGCTGCAGCTGAGCCTCATTTCCCTCAGAAGCCCCTTCAGAGGCACTTTTCGGGGGCCGTCGAGGAACTGGCAGGCAGCCCAGGGCTTTCTCCCCGGGGCGTTTGAAGCCGTGAACTCAGGTGCACCGGGGGCTTGTGATGCTGTTCCGTTAAACTTCAAAAAAGAAGAGAGAATTGACCCCTGAACGGAGGCTGAATCCAGGCCTCAGAAGCCGAGGGAAATCCAGTTCGTTCTGCAGCTGAAGCAGGAAACAAGCAGCTCTTTGCCTGAAGCCGCTCTGCCCAGCAGAGAAGTGGAGTCGCTAGTGTAGACACAATACGCCACTGAACACCAGTGGGTAGGAAGGTCACAGTGGTGCGGGCCCAGCCTTAAGGCGAGTAAAGTGGTTGCCTTGGACCATGCAGCCTCTGCCTGTGGACCCCCCGTGGGGCTGGAGCTGCCCATGGCAGGCAGGGAGCTGTGCCAGCCCCACCGGTTAATGGTGAGCTGGAACTAGCAGCATCACTCGTTCAGGTGAACTAGTTAACCCTTCATGTGCCTACATTGCTTTGTTTCAGTACAGGCCATTTCTTTCCTTCCCGCAAAGCTGCAATGGTAACACCCCCTGAGCCTGTCGCTAAATCTGCTACGCCCCTCCAGTTACGGAGAAAGCCTTTCAACTGCTCAGCATCATCTTCCCCCGTAGCTCTTCTCCCCTGAAGAGAGGCAATGGGCTAAGGGTGAGGGGCCATGA